ATACTCCAAGAGTAATTATCGTCTTAACCTAAGGCTATTTAACTTTTTCGTTAACATGAAAAACTGAATTTATTGATTTTTATCTGCGGCAAAGCCGCTTAATATTAAATGTACATTTTTTAGATATTTATAGTAAAATCAAAATGCATGCACAACTACTGGCTACGCAGCCACAGTATTCTTATTTGGGTGCAGTCACACCATGCTCATCTCGTGTTGCACAAACCCCTGTTACCAGGTTACGTGTAAACCCATTACATGGCCCGTGAGAATATCCGGCAAAGCTTTAATCCACCATGGAATGTTCAGATTCACTATTCCATAGCGACAAATGGTAAATCCTGATCCTGACCGAAGTATAGTACAAGTAACGCCGACATGACACAGCCCCCATATGAGATGTTGGATCGGATGTCAAATAGCGTTTGGTGCATTAGAAGAGAAGGTCAACCAGAATAAGCAAAACAATTCTCATTGTGCCCGATTATGACCCTTCGAATCCAGATCGGCTGTTTCATATTGTCTTTGACACTTTGGCGTTTGCGATGGGCTGTGCTTTATCGAAAGCATACGTCAACGGGTCATTGCTTTGCGCCTTGCCGGCGTCTAGCTCTACAGCATTTTGTGAAAAGCCACTAATTTATTTATAGTCTGCTGTTGACAAGTTCAGGATACATCTAATCAGATCAAAGCCACTGATGACTTTTGCTCATTTGCTATCACATAGAAAAATCACAAAAACAACTCCCGCAGAGAAAGGCGGGTTAAGTAAGGTACAAGCCTGATCGGCATTGTAGGGTGGCCAATGCGCTTATGCATCACCTACACTATGACATCTCTAACATAGCATAGTGAACCCCCTCATCGACAATGTTATATAGACAGTGTCAAGATCTAGACGCAACACGTGCTGTCCTGTTTAAAGCTCCGATAAGCAAGCCTGATGAGCGCAGAAGTTGCTGTATCGTAGGATTTGGTCGCGCACCGACAACGCTTTTCCCTGTCCCA